ATCCTATGATTACCTGGATACACATAACACTTTCTAGACTCTCTCTTTTGCTGCTGCCAATCTCTGTGCCTACAATATTTTCCACTAACTCACCCCAACCTACTGAAAACGTATTTCCCATGCGGCAGGTGATTCTTATGTCCGGTTGCTACCCTTTCTGATCACCATCGCTAAAAATGATCTTTTTCTTATCCTGGTCTCTATTATATGGTGAGATCTTAAGATCAACAAGATCCAAAGATCAGTAAGGTTTTAGGATTGATAAGATCTAAAGATCAATATGATGTACTCTCTGCCTTCAAGAACTCACTGTCTACCATGGGGGTCTTTAAGCTAGGACAGTGGTTCTGGAAGCCTAGTGAATAAAATAATTACCTGGTGGAATTGTTCAAGATATTTGAGGCCTACCCTCAAAAGATTCTAATTTAGTAACTCGGGTTGCTTTATAAGCAAGCATTCCTAGTGATTCTAATGCAGGTGAATGGTCTGTGCATGTCTTTTGGGAAGCTCATGAACCTCATGAACAACTGTGTAAATATATATGCATATCTGTGTTTTTCTAGACAGAGTCCACAGTTTACAGTACATCATCTATGACCTCTAAAAAAGTTTAAAAGTCACAGATAAAATTGGAAATAGATATGTTAACTAACAGGTTACAAAACAATTCTGCTAAGTGATAGAAGAGAAATCTGAAGAGAGAGTGCTGTGGGAATATAGATCAGAAAGCAACTAAGTGTCCCAGGGAAAGCTAAGAAAACTTCATGTGAGGATAACATTTTATTTTATTTTTTAAATTTATTATTTATTTAATTTTGTTTTTAGAGACAGGATCTCACTGTGTTGCCCAAGCTGGAGTACACTGGTACAATCATAGTTCACTGCAGCCTCAAAGTCCTGGACTTAAGAAGTCCTTTACCTCAGCCTCCCAAATAGCTGCAACTACAGGTGTGCACCACCACCACACTGAGCTAATTTTTTTTTCAGAGATGAGGGTCTCACAACCTTGCCAAGCTGGTCTTAAACTCCTGGCCTCAAGTGAGCCTCCTGCCTCAGCCTCCTGGGTAGCTGAGATTACAGGTATGTTACCAAACCCAGCTGAAGTAAACATTTTAGCAGGATTTTCTAGACTGCTGGAGTAGAATTTGCCAACTGGAGTAGAATACTGGTAATTCTAGGCACAGGGAACAGGATATGTAAAGACACAGAGATACAAAAAATAAGTTTTACTTTTTTTTTTCTTTTTATAAGATGGGGTTTCACCATGATGGTCAGGCTGGTCTTGAACTCTTGACCTCAGGTGATCCACCCACCTCGGCCTCCCAAAGTGCTGAGATTACAGGCTTGAGCCACCGCGCCCAGCAGTTTTACTTTCAACATATCTAGAATATTTGTGAAAGAAGGTACATGTGAATAATAAGACTAAAGATACAGGATCTTGTATGCCAAGTTAAATAGTTGCTTTGTTTTGTTTTTCAGAGACAGGCTGGAGTGCAGTGGCGCAATCATAGCTCAACTCCTAGGCTCAAGTGATCCTCCGTCTCAGCTTCCCAAGGTGCTAAAACTAGAGGTGTGTGGTATTTATTTATTTATTTAGTAGAGACAGGGTCTCATTTTTTCACCCAGGCTGGTCTCGAACCCCTGGCCTCAACTAATCCTCCTGCTTCAGCTTCCCAAAGTGCTGGGATTTCAAGCACGAGCCACCACACCTGACCAGTTAAAGAGTTTTATTCTGTAAGTAACAGAGAAACGACAGAGTGGTTTTTTAATTAAAGTAAAATTCACCATTTTAACCGCTTTATAGTTTTAATTAATTTATTTTTTTTTTTAGAGACAGGGTCTTGTTCTGTTGCCAAGACTGGAGTACAGTGGCATAATCATAGCTCACTGTAGCCTCACACTCCTGGACTCAAGTTATCTTACTGCCTCAGCCTCTCAAGTTGCTGGGATCACAAACCCAAGCCACTGTGCCCGGCTCAGTTTTGTATTTTTTAAAAAATTTTTTATTTTTTGTTTATATTTTCTTTTCTATTTTTTATTTTTATTTTTATTTTTTAACCAAAAACTCCTGAAGATATACCAAGTAAAGTTTTGTATTTTTCATAGAGATGGAGTTTCACCATGTTGGCCAGGCTGGCCTCAAACTCCTGACCTCAAGTGATCCACCAGCCTTGGCCTCCCAAAGTGCTCGGAGTATGGGCGTGAGCCACCATGCCTGGCCAGGAGATCTATTGTACATGATGATGACTATAGTGGCTGCCAGGGATTGGGAGGAGAGGGATGAACAAGTGGAGCACAGAGGATTTTTAAGGCAGTGAAACTATTCTGTATGATATTGTAATGGAAGACACATGTCACTAAACACTTGTTCAAACCCAAAGAAGGTATAATACCAAGAGTGAACTCTAACGTAAACTACAGACCTTGGGTAGTAAATGACGGTTCATTGATTGTGACAAATATGCCACTCTGGCGTGGGATGTTGACAGTAAAACAGATTGTGCAGGTGTGGACAGGAAGTATATGGAACTCTCTGTACTTTCTGCTCAATTTTGCTGTGAATCTAAAACTTCTCTAAAAAATAAAGTATATTTAAAAGAATTTTTTTTAAATGAGAACCTCTTCAAACAATGTCAAACAACAACAACAAAAATTCCTGTATCTTTTTTTTTTGAGATGGAGTTTCGCTCCTGATACCCAGGCTGGAGTGCAATGGCGTGATCTCGGCTCACCGCAACCTCCGCCTCCTGGGTTCAAGCAATTCTCCTGCCTCAGCCTCCTGAGTAGCTGGGATTACAGGCACGTGCCACCACGCCCAGCCAATTTTTTGTATTTTTAGTAGAGACGGGGTTTCACTATGTTGACCAGGATGGTCTCGATCTCTCGACCTCGTGATCCACCCGCCTCGGCCTCCCAAAGTGCTAGGATTACAGGCTTGAGCCACCGTGCCCGGTGTAATTCCTGTATCTTTAAACTTCATCCTCTATGGCTCCTTTTTAAGGCCTCACAAAACTCAGTCCATAAAAACCAGTACATTCCTTTCTGGTTTCCTATCTAGACTGAGAGGCCTAACTCCTCCTCCTTAACTTTAACAAGCCGTCTGAAGAGCCTCTTTAGGACCTCCTCTGTAGTCTCCCTGTGACACTGCAACTCCAGGCGGCTTGCTTTACTCTACCCAGACAAATGACCTAATGACTTATATCCAAAAGGTGATCCGAACTGATTAAGGAGGAAACTTTTTTCTTAGAGATGGGGTCTCACTATGCTGCCGAGGCTGGTCTCAAACTACGGGTCTCAAGTGATCCTCCCACCTCAGCCTCCTGAGTAACTGGGACTACAGGTGCATGCCACCATGCCCACTTATCTTTTCTACTTTACCATCTTCTCTGTTTTCAACTAACATGGCCTGTCTATCCAACCTGTCCATCAGTTTACTATTTTCCAAAAAATTCAAGATTTGAGTCAAGTAAAAACTTTAAAAACACTAATGGTAAATGCTAATAATGCTAATGTTGGCCAAGTGCAGTGGCTCATGCCTGTAATCCCAGCACTTTGGGAGGCCGAGGGAGGCAGATCACCTGAGGTTGGGAGTTCAAGACCAGCCTGACCAACACGGAGAACCCCGTCTCTACTAAAAATACAAAATTAGCTCGGCGTGGATTACCTGAGGTCGGGAGTTCGAGACCAGCCTGACCAACATGAAGAAAACCCTGTCTCTACTAGAAATGCAAAATTAGCTGGGCATGGTGGCACATGCCTATAATCCCAGCTACTTGGGAGGCTGAGCCAGGAGAATTGCTTGAATCTGGGAGGCAGAGGTTGTGGTAAGCCAAGATTGCACTCTAGCCTGAGCAACAAGAAAAAGTACTGTTTTGGAAGAAAAGTGTATTAGTGTTCTCCAGAGAGACAGAACCAATAGGATACATATAGATAGATATATGAGAGGGAATCTATTAGGGGAATTGGTACACATCATTATAGAAGCTGAGAAATTCCACAACCAGGCCGTCTGAAAGCTAGAGATCCTGGGATGCTGATACCATGGTTCAGTCCAAGTCTGAAGGCCTCAGAACCAGGGAGGCCAATGGAATGTAACTCTCAGTCTGAGACCAGAGGCCTGAGAACTGAAGGTTAGGCAAGGAGTACTGGTATAAGTTCTGGAGTCCAAAGATCGGGGAGACAAGAGTTCTGTTGTCCAAAGCAGGAGACAAATGTATCCCAGCTCCAGCAGATAAATCCATACATTCGCCTTTTCCTCATTTTTTGTTCTCTACAGGTCCCTAGCAGATTGGATGATGCCTGCCCACACCGAGGGCAAATCTTCCCTACCTAGTCCACTCAGACTCACACAATCATCTCTTCTGGAAACACCCTCACAGACACACTCCAAAATGATGCTTTACCAGCATTCTATGTGTTCCTTAGTCCAGTTGAGTTGACATCTAAAATTAACCATCAGAAAAAATGTATAGAAGACCTAATTTCTTACAAACTCAAGAAACAACGGGAACGACCTTACTTCAAATGAGCCTAATTTACATTCATTGTAGCCTGATATCCAAGAGGCTCTGATCTTTAAACTTCTGTAAGCTGCTGTGACAAAAAATAATTGCATACCTATTTGTGAAGAATAATCCATTACATGATGCAACTTTCATCTCATTAACTCTGTTTTCCACTGCCTATGAATAGTGACTATTTATTGAGCTTTAAGTATGTGCCAGGCATCGTGTTGTGTGCTTTTTTTTTTTTTAAATTTTAATTCTTACAGTAAGTATCAATTCACCTGATAGATAAAGAAACTGAAGTTTGGAGAAGGTAAGTAATATTTCCATGATCAGGCAGTTAGTAAATAGGAGAGCCAGGATTCATTCTTTCAACTACTAAATATTAAATCATTTTGTTGTTAAGAAAATTTTTGTGGTTTTATTGTAACATGAGGCATTGAAACACCGTGAATGCCTGACTGAGAGGAGGTCAGCCAAAGTTGCGCAGGGCAAGCCTGAACACGTCATTGGTGCAAACTCAAGCATCGTTGATGTTCTTTAATAGGAACATCAGGTGAAACCCCATGATGAGGTCTTCATCCACCTTAAACTGGCCCACAGCCATGCTGATGATGTAGCTATCTGGTGAGGGCTTGATGGTCCTCACCATAATGCTATGCTGGATTTTCCGGAACAGAAGGTTAGATGACTTCTCTGCCATGGCAGCTTTCCCTGGGAACTGTTGTCCTTCCCACACAAGGCATAACGCATCAATGTAAATTGCATCTAATTGGGTTCTATCATTATGAAATAACCGGTAATGATGTTCAATGCAGCTAGATCCAACCTGCTCCCACACTGGCTTGTCTCCCATTCTGGAGCATCACTTGGCCTTGTGAAGACCCGAGGGGCTAGCACGATGGTGGCAGTGTAAACAGCCAAGAAGTCTTTAAAATATGATTGTCATCTCTACATAGCCAATATTTCGTTAGACAAGGATGATTCATCATAGTTAAATTTCTTTTTATTTTATTTCATTTATTTATTGCAGAGACAAAGTCTCACTATGTTGCCCAGGCTGATCTCAAACTCCTAGGCTCAAGTGATCCTCCCACCTCAGCCTCCCAAATTGCTGGGATTATAGGCACAAGCCACCATGCCCGGCCTATAATTAAACTTCTATCCATTTTTAGTTTTTTGGGTCTTTTTCTTTGAGACGGGGATTCACTCTGTTGCCCCGGCTAGAGTACAGTGGTGCCATCATAGCTCACTGCATCCTGAAACTCCTGGGCTCAAGAAATCCTTCAGCCTCAGCCTGCCAAGTAGCTGGGACTACAGGAGTGCACCATCATTTTCAGAAAATTTAAAAAATTTTTTTACGTACAGGGTCTCATTATGTTGTCCAGGCTGGTCTCGAACTTCTGACCTCAAGCAATCCTCTTGCCCTGGCCTCTCAGAGTGCTAGGATTACAGGCATGAGTCACCGTGCCTGGCCTTCTATTTACTTTAACTTGAAAGCATACTTCCTTTCTAGTTAAACTTGCCTTCATAGATATTTTAATTATAGTTTATTATTCTTCATTCTTGAACTTAAGCCAGTTCCCCACACAGGTTTAGTTCTCTTAGTTCTCTCAGTTTGTATAATTCATGACTACCACTCTGCTGACTGTGTTCACAGCCCCTGGGGCCTCCTCTGTTTTGTTGCTTGTGATCAAGGTCTTAACTTGTCCTCTAGGGTCTAAGATTCGTATCTATATTTTTCCATACTCCCCTTTTTTGCTCTTTTCTTTTTTGTTCTTTTCTACAGAGCCAGGGGACTACTCACTCACCTGGCTAAACCAGAATGACACAGATTGCCTCATAAACTGGAATTCTGACAGACCAAGAGCTCAAGATCACAGGTCACAAATGGCAGAGGACTGTACAAGCAATAGATTTTTTGTGATTTGTTTTTTCTGATGGCTGTTAGAATGAAAAATAAATAAATACATCTCTAAGAGTAACCATTCAATTCTTCCATATTATTTCAGAGTAGAAATCAATTTAATAAGTCCCTAGCATGGTGATAAATAATTTTTCTGCTGTTGTCAACCAATATCAAATACACAGTACTAGTATAGAAACAGCTATAAGGCTCCTTTCCAGCTAATCAACTCCTCTCCTCCACTTCATTGCCAGCAATTATGCACCTCAGTATCCAATTATTCCAATGTTCTTTTACCCTGTAACAAATGATAGTCAGAATTCAATATGTGCCTGATTATCATCATGGCAATTAATCTTAGGGTTTCAAAACTGGAGCTCTACATCTCTGATTCAGTCTCATTTTTGCTTTGCATTTTCTCTTCTCCTATGCTTCTAGCTATGTATCTTATTTATATAGAGATAAAATTATATCAAATCTAGCTAGGGTAATTAAGATGGAACCCTCATACTTAAGCAGATCCTAAGTAGTCCTCTATATATTATGGGTTCCAAATGGTCCTGGAAAAGAATATAAAAAAGTCATTCCAAAAAGTCAATACGTGTTTTTAGAGACGGGTTCTCACTCTGTCACCCAGTCTGGAGTGCAGTGGTACAATCATAGCTCACTGCAGCCTTGAATTCCTGGACTCAAGCTATCCTACTGCCTCAGTCTCCTGAGTAGCTGGGACTACAGGTGCACACCACCATGCCCAGCATCAGTACATTTTTTTAAGCTCCAATTTTCTAACTACAAATATATCAAAATTCATCACAATATACTGGACACAGCCCAAGACAAAAATCTATTTTATACTAAACTTCATTCTTACCAAAATTATGATCTATAGTCAACTTTAATTGCTGTAGTGGCACTCATAACTTATCGAACATACCAATTTCATATTTGTCATAGTCACAGTATTCCAAAGCTGTCAAATTACTTCCCAGCGGTTACCAATATCAGTACCCAAATTTCACTAAGATCTAAACAAAACAATTTTTAAAAGTTTCCAGCTGTATTAGTTTACTGTCTAGCAAATACTATTTTTAACAATAATGACTCTAGTTATGTTCTGGATTTCAACTAATCACGTAGATCCCAATATTATCCTTTTCTTATACAACTAATAGCACCCTATGCTTGAGCCAAAACTAGCCAACATTCCCTAAAGCCTTCCAGCTTTTGGGTCATGCCTATCCATTCAACCTCTATCTCCTCTCCTTACCTGAACTCTGGTCATCCCAAACCATGTACTGTGCTGTTGTTTCCTCCCCGGCAAAGCTCTTCATTTGAAGCTGTTCTTTTTTTCTCTCTCTTTCTTTCTTTTTCATTTTTTTCTTCCTTCCTTTTTTTCTTTTTTTTTTTTTTTTGAGTTGGAGTCTCACTCTGGCGCCCAGGCTGGAATGCAGTGGTGCAAACTCAGCTCATGCCAACCTCCACCTCCCGGGTTCAAGCGATTCTCCTGACTCAGCCTCCTGAGTAGCTGGGACTACAGGCGTGTGCCAACATACAGCTAATTTTTGTATTTTTAGTAGAGACTGGGTTTGACCATCTTGGCCAGGCTGGTCTTGAACTCCTGATCTCATGATCCACCTGCTTCGGCCTCCCAAAGTGCTAGGGTTACAGGTGTGAGTCACCTCACCTGGCCTCTTTCTTTCTTCCTTTCTCTCTCTTTTTTTCTTTCTTCCTTCCTTTCTTCCTTCCAGACAGTGGTCCTGCTCTATATTGCCCAGGCTGGCCTCGAAGTCCTAGGGCTTGAGTGGTCTTCCCACTTCAGCCTCCCAAGTAGCTGGAATTACAGGTGCACACAACCAAACCCAGCTGAGGCTGTTCATTTTCCTTCACTCATATCTTTCCGTAAGTCAAGATCAGGTTATCATCTTCTTGTATCTTCTTCGCTGGATCCCCAAGGTATTATTTTGCCATCTTACCTCAATAGCCTCTTTCTTGAAAGTTCATAACACTCAGTTTTATGACTCTCTCAATGTTAAATTTCAATCTCCAACTCTCCTCCCAACATTCACTGAGGACTTCAGTACTAACTGTTTTCCTTTTCTCATCTTGAAAGCCTTCATTATCCCCCTTGATGATCTAACACCCAAACTTCATAGATCCTTGACATACCCTATTCTAATTTCTTCATCTCAATTCCATTTGAATCTCCTTTTTTTTTTTTTCCAGGGGAAAGCACAAATGCAGTCTCCCACTACCACAAATTACACAGTCGAGTTTGCTGTATTTGGGGAAATAGGAAGAGCCAGCACACCCAGAGTGCAATGAATGGGCCTCACCCTGAGAAAACCACCTTTGTGATCATGGTATCTTCCCTGCTGGGTTTCAATTATTCGTTTCTGTAGTGACACCTGGAATGGCTCTACTTCCAAAACCGAACACAGAGGGTCCACTCTCCTAAACCTTATACTCCCTGAATTTACCCTTCAACTTCCTCAAAGCCTTTAATTCATTAACCCTCTTAGCTATTTTCCAAAGCCATTGTGCACTTTTGGGGTTTTTTGGGTTGGGGGGGTTGGAATTCCTTTATTTTATCTTTAAAATTTTTTTTCTTTCCACAGGTTTTGGGGAACAGGTGGTGTTTGGTTGCATGAGTAAGTTCTTTAGCGATGATTTGGGAGATTTCGGTGCACACCTCACCAGAGCAGTGTACACTGCACCATACTTGTCGTCTTTTAGCCCTCACCCTCTTCCCCCCCTTTCCTCGTGAGTCCCCAAAGTCCGTTGCCATCACATATTTTTGGACTGCACTTCCTTGTCTACTTAGGAAAGAGTCCATGGACACTGGGACTTCAATAACAGTAACCAGCGCTCTCTATTCTCCTGTCCCCTTGATTTTCCACCGTACCTATGTCAATTCTCACCCACAGATTAACCCAACTGTTTATAGTCTCCATTCCTGATTACAGATTACAAAGTACTGCTGAGTCAAAGTGTATACCCCTTACCACCGGCTTCCCTTCCATCCAATCCATCCTCCACTGTCAACAGAATGTTCTTTTTTCAAAGTTGGTAAATAAGAAGTATATATATTTATTGTGTACAATATGATGTTTTGAAATACGTATACATTGTGGAATGGCTAAATTGAGCTAATTAGTAACATGTGCATTATGTAACATACTTTTTTGTGGTAACAACACTTAAGAATGATCTTTTAAAACGTAAATTAGGCAGGACTTCTGGAATGGCAGAGGAACTCAGCAAATCCTCTCTTCCTTAAAACAATGATAAAACTGTAAAAATTGTCAAAAACAATAATTTCAGGACTCTGGAAATAGACAAAAATTAAACAAATTAAGAAGAATTTAAGAAAACCTGTGGAACCTTTGGCTAAGACCAGTGGGAGACTACAGGGCTATTAGCCCAAGGCTGCTTCCATCTCTTCCTCGCCTCCCAGGTCCCTTTGAGCTGATTTTACAAGGAAAGTCAAGGCAAGCCATAAAAAATAACAATTTAGATGCTGGAGGGGAATTACTTCACAAAGAATGAACACCAAAAACGTCCTATGCCCAGAGGTGTTTAAAACAATAGCAAACTCAATTTCATACAATCAAGGGAAACCAACATTCCAGTTACCTGAGGTTATAATATTGGTTGAAGCAAGCAACAGAATAGCACATCTACCAAAGTTTACAGAGATTTCCAGAAAACAGGACAGTAATAGTGGGGCTTGATAAACACTTTCAAGGCCCTGGTTGTCTAGAAGGCTGGTGTGCATGTGCAAGGCTGCACTGAATGAAGTTCAAGGTACTAGAGAGGGGCCCAGTTATTTACATTTCCTTGGCTGAATGTGAGGCATTGCACAGATACAGAAGGACATGAGAAGGCCTATCAGGAAGTAAAAGTCACGGAAGACTTGTAAACTCTTCAAACTTTGAATGTGTTTCCCAATCCACGCACAACTTCGTCAGCAAAGAGCAGAAGACATACTGGCCCAAGGTGTTTAAGGACAACCTTTAGCAAATTATTGGCTGACCACTAAGTTATTCTGACCCAGATATGACACCTAGGAAGCCAGGCTTAGAAATTTTTTTTTAAAAAAATTATTTTTAAATTACATTAAATTAAATTAATTTATTTCTTTTGAGATGGAGTCTCTCTGTCGCCCAGGATGGAGTGCAGTGGCGTGATCTCGGCCCACTGCAACCTCTGCCTCCCGGGTTCAAGTGATTCTCCTGCCTCAGCCTCCCAAGTAGCTGGGACTATAGGCACACACCACCATGCCCAGGTAATTTTTGTATTTTTAGTAGAGACAGGGTTTCACCATGTTGGCCAAGACTGTCTCAATCTCTTGACCTCGTGATCCGCCTGCCTCGGCCTCCCAAAGTGCTAGGATTACAGACATGAGCCACTGCACTCAGACTTATTTTATTTTTTTGAGTTAGAGTCTCACTCTTTCGGCCAGGTTGGAGCGCAGTGGCAAGATCTCAGCTCAATGCAACCTGTCTCCCAGGCTCAAGCAATTCTTCTGCCTCAGTCTCCCAAGTAGCTGAAATTACAAGTGTATGCCACCACGCCCAGCTAATTTTATATTTTTAGTAGGGACGGGGTTTCACCATGTTGGCCAGGCTGGTCTCGAGCTCCTGACCTCAGGTAATCTACCCATCTTGGCCTCCCAAAGTGCTGAGATTACAGGCATGAGCCACTATGCCCAGCCAATTTTTTTTTAACTCAGCAAAAGTCTGGGTACAGTGGCTCATCATGCCCATAATTCCAGCACTTTGGAAGGCTGAGGCAGGAGGATCACTTGAGCCCAGAACTTCAAGACCGGCCCCGGCAACATAGGGAGACCCCATCTCTACAAAAAAACAAAATTAGCTGGATGTGGTGGCACATGCCTGTGGTCACAGCTACGTGGGAGGCTGAGGTAGGAGGATCACTTGAGCCCGGGAGATTGAGGCTGCAGTGAGCTATGATCACACCACTGCACTACAGCCTGAACGACAGAATGAGACCCTGTCTCAGAAGGATAGGAGAGAAGGGGAGGGCAGTGGAAGGAAGGGGAGGGGAGGAGGAGACAAGAGGAAAGGAAAGGAGGAGAGGAGAGGAGAAAGAAAATACAACAGAGGGGTGGAGTGGGATGGGGCAAAAAAAAATAGAGAAAAAAAGGAAAGCTACAACAATCATCAGGGAGTAGGGATCAAGACACTGAGCTTAACATTTTGAGGAACTGCCACACTGTTTTCCAAAGTGGCTATACTCATTAGAATGTCTATCATAAAAACGATGGACAGTAAGTAAGTGTTGGCCAGGGAGTGGAGAAAACTGAAACCCTCATACTCTGCTGGTGGAAATGTAAAACGGTACAACCAATGTAAAAAGCCTGTGTTTTAGAAAACAGTGTGGCAGTGCCTCAAAAGGCTAAACGTTAGAGTTACTCTATGACCCAAAAAGTAGAAACAACCCAAAATGTCCATCAACTGATGAATGGATAAACAAAGTGTTACATATCCATACAATGGAATATTATTCACCCATAAAAGGAAATGAAATACTGACACATGCTATAACATGTATTAGCCTTGAAAATACTATGCTAAGTGAAAGAAACCAGACACAAAAGACCACATATTATATAATCCCATTTATATGAGATGTTCAGAGTGTGCAAATTCATAGAGATAGTAAGTAGACTAAGGCTGCCAGGGGCTGAGGGCAGGGGGAAATGGAAAATGAGTGCTAATGGGTATGTGGTTTCTTTTTGGAGTGATGGAAATGATCTGGAATTAAATGGTGATAGTTGTACCATCTTGTGAATATATTAAAAACCATTGTGTTATACATTCTTAAATGATGAATTTTATGGCATGTGAATTATATCTCAAATTTCAAAAACAGTGCTAAGTGAAAGCAGCCAGATGCAAAAGGCTATATAGCATATGATTGCATTTATATAAAATATCTAGAAAAGGCAAATCTATAGACAGCATATTATTGCTTGCCTGGGGCTACTGACAGGAAGCAGGATTGACTGCAAAAGTGTATAGGAGACCTTTTATTCTGAGGGAAATGTTTTAAAACTGGATTGTGGACATAGTTGCACAACTGTATAAATTTACTAAAAAGTTTTGAATCGTATACTTAAAATAGGTGACTTTTATACTATGTAAATTAAACTTAAAAAAAAGTTTTGAATTGCATACTGAAAATAGGTAACTTTTATGCTATGTAAATTAAACTTAAAAAAAGTTATACGAGTGGATGATTTGAAAAGTTTCTCAAATTTTTCTGGGCAGTGGCTTTTCAGCATCACTCAGCAATCTCTGCTTCTCCAGCTTCTAAATCAGAGCTTCTAATTGCAGGACTTTGTATGGCTCTGCTCCTGTTATAGTGACTGAGGCGGCTTGTCCTCATTGACTCATGATCTTAGACCCTTAATATGTACACAGGGAAAAGGAAAAGACCGTTTCACTGGAGGCTCCTGCAAATGAGAAAATAATGCATGTGTCAAAGGAAAACAAAAATCACATCACAGATTTGAGACCAGTTCTGATCATATATACACATTCATACTTTCTCCTGCTCAGAGTATTTTTTATTCTTCACTGCTTCCCACTGCCTGTCACCCCCACATGTTTTTTGTCCTTTTAAAAAAATAAATAAATACGCTTTTTTTAAAAAAAAAGAAAATATAAATCAACTAGAACTCCTTGGAAAAATACCAAGTCTGAGACAGGAAATATATAAGCCTTGTGCCAGGAATCAAGAAAGCTATGGAACACTAATGAGTCATGTCAGGAACATACAGGAGGCAACACATTGGCAAAAGATGGGAAACATTGAGCATTAACAAGGATAGTGAATGCAGTCAATTAAAACCCATTGAATATATTTTTTAATTTTTAATTTTTATGGATACACAAATGTACATATTTATTATGGGGTACATGTGACAGACATTTTTTAAAGGGTAGTTAATAATGACAGGGAAAGAACAAACATATGCAACACGTTGGCTATCACTGAAAGTAAGTAGAGCACCAACTCTTTACTCTGAAAATTGGTAATTAAGGAAAGAATTAATCATTTTTTCTGCCTTCCCTGTAGGAGTAACACAATAGTCCCAGTTGATGAGGGAGAAGTTTACTTTCAGAAAAATTCCAACTAATTAATGTGGAAAACAAAATTAGGGAATCACCATTTTGAAACTGCTAGTGAAATGATTAACTCCACCAATGGTCATCAACAGATTAAACTATTAGATGAAAAGTTGAAGGGAAACATAATGAAGGAGTCAGGCAGGGCATGGTGGCTCACACCTGTAATCCCAACACTTTGGGAGGCTGAGGTGGGAGGATCACTTGAGCCCAATAGTTTAAGACCAGCCTGG